GATGGTTGAGCGTACAATCCTTCAGAGTCGAATAAAAAATTTCGTTTCTCTTTTTCGGTGCTCGGGAATAGTTTCGTCCCAAGTCATTTTGTTGATGCCAAAATCTTGAGGAGATTTCCCTAGAACGTTTGGATCAAAGTTATCATAAACCCCATCAGTCATCAGCAACAAATTGTCCCCAGTCATACAAATGTTAATCCCACACGAGAAATTGCCCAAATCGGGTTTGTCGACATCCGTTGGTCCTAATCTCCCACACGCATTGGTGACATCAATGCGACTCTTGTACCCAGACACTAACTCCCAACATATATTGCTTTTGGGACGCATTAATATTCCACGACAGTCACCAACATTCACATACGCTACAGCAAACTTGTCCGCATCGCCTTTGATCTTCAGAATAACACATCCCAAAAAGGTGGTTAAACCAACACAGTGGATGTCTTCGTCACTCCCCACTAATTCAGTTTGAATGTACGCTACCGACTTTAATAAGACCTCGACCACTTGCTTTGGTGTCTTCTTCCCGTTCATTTCGACGGCTATGTAGTCTCTAAATTTCTGACACGCTAATTTCGACGCGGAGGATGGAAGGCGGCCCATCCCACATCCATCTGCTATAGAAAGAACAACGAAGTTATCAAATATATCGATGGCGTGCGTGTCTGCAATGGGTTTACCAAATTTCGATTCGTTAATTGATGGGTATGTTGAAAAGATCGTTGAAGCATAGACATCAGTGTTCGAGTACAAGAGATACCTCTCCGGGTCTTCCTCTATTTGTGGCTGAAGAAAAGAAAAATGGGGTGCGTAGCAGTTGGGGGGGTCAAACACAATCCTCAAATTGTTTTCCTCCGTTTTGTCGTACGCCTCTTTCACCATCTTGAAGTATGATTTGTCGTACAAAAGCTGCTTCATCCCGCTTGCCTCGGTTTTTGAAGGGGTTTCAAGTTCTAGAGCACTCCTATTTCCTTTTATTTAAAGTTCTTGATATCTTTAGTTAACTTTTTGATATTTGAATTATCGCTTTGGTGGTATTTATAAGAGGTTAACAAACTTTTGTTTGGAGTTAATGAATTCTTTTGGTCTGTTTTATTTACTCTGGAAATTATCCCTCTGTCATTCTTCATTTATAGTATTGTATAATTATTTTTATTTTTATTTATTTTCAAATCTATTTAAAAAATAATTAAACCATAATTTATTATCATTTTTATTTCAACAGTATTTAAAAATAATCACCAGTTTTTCAAGTTCAATGAAAATAGTTACAAATAAGTTACATTTCTTTTGTTTTCAATTTGATACGTTAAAAAAATTTACACAATCGGGAAAACAATTTACTATCATTTATAAAATAAATTTAATATAACAATATATAATAATATTCTAATAAATATGGTTGATTATTGTAACCCCCCAAAAATATTTTGTACTATTTTTAATAATAAGTTAATTAAAATATTTTAATACTATAAAGAAACTTAACACAAACCATAAAAAACTATTATAATTGATATGAAAAAATGAAGTTACAAAGTAATACCAACCATTTGTAAAATCTCAGTAAATACATAATCCCCACAAGCAAGACTTTGAAATGTGTTTTTAAGAGTTTCTTGTTGTTCAAAGTCTGAGACAAACTGATACACATTTGGAGAAGCAAACTGTATATAAAAATTAGGAGAGATGTTACATGCGTCGATGATCACTTCCATTAAGTCGTAGCAAATAACATGAAACGAGGAAAACACGTGTAATGGTATTCTATGGTCTCTGTCCTCACTTAAATACTCAATCTGTTTTTTGTTTTGATACCACGAGGCAAGATAATACCACTCAAAGCACAGAAATTCGAAGAAGTTACACTGGACGTGTTGGCGGTGATATACTATACACACACAAAACACTGCTTTCCACATATCAAACTCTCCTTTAAGGCCTCGTGCAAAGAAGTTAATGACATTGTTATCAAAATCAAGCTTCCTTAACCACCAGAATATATCGCCACCAAACTCTCTGTTACTAACAACAACAAACCCAATTGGGATTGGTGTGATGTGGTCGTCGTAATGCTCGACTATTTGGCTGTTTGGTTTGTACACGTCGTACAACAATTTCCGGACTTTTGAGGTGGTCTTGAGTGGGTTCTCGTATTGTGGATCGCAGTATGATGGCACCTTTGTTGCAATTGACCATGCACTCAAGACGTTACTCCAAGAGTGACACGTGTCACTGATATTAATACCTGGAATTGTGACTTCTCTGACGTCGACGATTTTTTGCATTTCCTCTGCAGATTCAAGACCCTTTATCATCAACTCGCTGTCTTCTTCAGTTAATGAATTGATAATAGTCTGGACCAAATCGTTGGGACTCCCAGGGTATTCTTTGATGAAGTTTATTGTTTCATCGAAACCAAAATCACTCCTCTTAACAATCCCAAGTGCGATACGTGTGTCAGTGCAAAATGTTTTAGTGAAGTCGTTCCCACACAAACAACTGAAAACGGGAAGAAAGTCTGACGGGAGGTCGATATACTTTCTGATCACGTTTGTGTTAAACACATCGAAAAAAACGGCTTGTGGCGACCTGTTTTTAAGTGCAAGCGTCGTCGCTCTGACAAAGCTTCTGCAATTAATCACACCACCCACATTTGCAAGTAGAAAATCCGAATCGTTTGTTACAATGGCATATGCATATTTCTGGATGGACATTTTAACAATGAGCTGGTCAGCCTCGCCATTGGCTCTGATTGATTCGAAGTGTTTTGAAAGGGATAAATAAAATGCTCTTTTTTCAAGTTGAAATAAATGGTTCTTAACTTCGCGAATTGAGTGCGGCGACGCAAAAAAGTCTTTTACTATCTTGGCACCCTCTTCGACACGATGAATACACTCGGCGATTTTATCACATGGAGTTAAGCCGTCGCTAACAAAAATTAATTCGACATGAAATCTGTCACACAGAAATTTCAAATTGGTAAAGTAAGTATCTACACTCTCGACTGAATGATTGAACGTTGTCATCACTTGAAACAACAACGAATTCGCATCTACAACAATTACCGTTGGTTCTCTATATTTATAAAAATAGCGCTCAGACTCATCAAATAT